CTTCTGGTTCTTGCCTTGGAAGGCTTGACACACCAGAGGACAGCGCTTTTGTGTAGGTTTCTACAGGCAGGCCCGGATTGTGATCAATCCTCTGACAAGAGCGGCGGAGAGCTTTTGGGGTGATGGCCCAGCCCTCAGTGGTTCCCCCTGCTAGTAGGAAAGCCCAAAGCCCCACCCCAGCATTCCAGGCTCACCAGGTGGTGCCTGTAGCTAAGTCAGCCCCATGGGCTTCACCGCCCTCTCATAGCTAAGTGAGGTACGACTGGACCCTGATCCCACCTGGGAGAGTTTCTGGTAAGTGGGAGTGAAGGGCTGCTCCTGGTGAAACTGGAGATGATGGTAGTCAAGCTTCAGGGAAGCAGAGGTGGAGGCGAGTTGGTCCAGGGACACTTTAGAGAGCCCTGGAGTGTGGCATGCCTGAGCTTGTTCACAGCCTACAGGGAAGAACACAGGAAAGACCGAGATTCTGAGAGGGGGCAGGGCCCTGTCCTAGGCCAACGGGGAGCTCCCGAAAGGAGAAGCATCGCCCTCCTCCCCCCTTGCTTCCTGTTGCTCCCAGCAGAGCCTTTGCAGAGAGCCTGCCCTCAAACAGGAAAGATCTCTCCTCTGAGCCTGGACGTGAGAACTGGGGTGGGGATGGGGGTGGGGGATTGCAAGTTCTCGGGCCTTGGTTAGAGAAGTTCAGAACTCCTGTCCCACCCCCTTTCAGTTCCTCCCCGAAGCTTCAGGTCTCATATATTCCCAATTCTGGAAAGGGAACCGGGCTCTGAGGCTCAGTGGGCTCCAGTGAGGTGGATCCCCGCAGAGCCAGCCCTAAGGGCACCGCAAAGCATGCAGAACTGACTCGAAATCCATCTCCCTCCTGCGGGGGAAGCTACGAGGCCTCATGCACACCCAAAACCAATTTTTTTAATCCTCACCTGAGGACATTTTTCTATTTTTTGTTCAGATAGAGTGGGAAGGAGAGAGAAACATCGACGTGAAAGGGACACATCAAGTGGCTGCCACCCGCACAACCCAACCAGGGCCGGGGACAAACTGCAACCGAGGTACGTGCCCTTAGCGGGAACCGAACCCGGGTCTCTTTGGACTGCAGGCCGATGCTCTAAATGCTGCTGAGCCAAACTGGCCAGGGCCTGAAACCAATTTTAAGGGTTTCATCCAAGTTACCCAGTCTGCATCCGCCTTTATCCAAGGCCAGTCAGGACTGTCCTCAAAGAACACTTGTTAAAGGAACTGCCACAGCAGTGTGTTTGCAAGACACTAATTTACGCTTTGGAATTCAGCGCAAAGTCAGGGGGTGCTCTGGTCGCGCATTCCCTCTGGGACACCTCAGTAGCTTCATTCAGCTCACTTGGTGGGCCCTTTGCCAAGTGTTGGGAAAACGCAACGCGTGGTCCCTGTTCCCACGCTTACCAGGTGGTGGGCAGGCAGGCCAGTTAATTCAGCGGGCAGAGGAGTAAAATATTACTGCAGTACACTTGAAAATTCAGTTTGACAACATAAGAAAGATTCAGACGTATGAAGAATGTGCGTGAGTCAAACTCGCGACAGTTGCTAGAAGCAAAATCTCAACAGATTTGAGCCAATGCTGCAGAGAATGTAATGTATAAAATAAGGCACAAAACTGCCAATCAAAAGTGAGTTACATGAAATCCATTGGTGATAGGTTAGGGAGGTGGAGAAAGCAAAGCGGGAAACCTCTGGGATTGGAGGAAAAGTAAAATGACAGACATACATCTTAGGTGGGTACAGGACAGTTAACAGTCACAATTGACTCAACAACAATGAGGTGCTTGTGGTCTCCAGAGGGCTGCCTGTTTTGAGGAGTCTGGAAAGAGGAAGATTACTTGGACATTCCAAAGATATGTTATCATAGATGCAAAAAGACAATAGACAGGCTCAGTTAAGGTAAAGATTGACCTTTGTCAGGGAAGATGCCGGCCTAGGGCATGAATACCTGCCATAAACTGCTTTTGGTTAAGACATCTTAATTTCAGACCATCCTTTGTGGTTACTTTAGGTCTTTGAGTTTGCAAGGCCACTACACAGGCCCTACCTGAGCTTGTCAGGTTAGCACGTGGCCCCTTTTTGTCCACAAGCGGAAGGGACTGGCCTCAGCATTCCCAGGAAGATGCCAGGGAGGCAGTTGGTTGTAGAAGCGAGGTGCTCATAAGCGCCTGGGCTGACACGTAGAGCAGTGCATCACTGGGCTGGAGCCTTTCAGCACCCCCACTGAAGCCGAGGGCACGCTGTTTAGAGACTGTATTAACGAAGGCACGTGTGGAGTAGCAAAACCCAAGAAAGAATGCTGGGAGCACAACTACGCACAGCTGGCTCCACCCAGGTATCTGAGCCCTCACAGCTGAGAGACAGCCACACAGAGATCACCCCACAGAGGAACCGGGGGAATAACACCCCATGCCCTCTCCTTTCAGATCTGGTAACTGCCTGCCTGAGTCCTGTTTTTGTAGGCATACTTATGATTTCTATTGCAGTCAGCACCCCCACCCCACCCCTAACCCCCAACATATAACTGCCACAGAGCCTAGCATCCTGCCAGAGGTTTCGGAACATTTTACCCAAGTTTGCTTTATAGTCTCATTTTTTAAATTTTATTTCATTAATTTTTGACACCTTCCTCCCATTCCTGTGCCCCCACCCCCACCCCAGCCCTTCAGCATGGTCGTCTATGTCCATTGGTTATACTTATACGCATAAGTTCTTTGGTTTATCTTTTCCCTCCCCTCCGGCCCTCTCCTCTAAGTTTGTCAGTCTGAACTCTACTTCTATGTCTCTCCGTCTACTTTGTTTATCACCTTATTTTGTTCATTCTAGTCCACAAATAAGTGAGATCACGTGATACTGGTTTCTCTGACTGGCTCATTTGGCTCAGCATTAACCCTCTCCAGGTCCTTGAACAGCGTTAAGTGTAACAAGGCTTTATGCACTTGCATGAGGGTTACCAGCTTACAAGAGCTTGAGGTTGATGCCTTCGTTTTACGTCCCAGTCCTTCAATCACATAAATGCCCCAAGGGTGAACTCAAGTTTTCACACCTGATCTTAAACTCAGTCCCATTAAGTTCTGATCATTAAATCCTCGTTTCTCAGAATAGTTCCAGCCCCACTCGTTTTGCATTTCTGCTTTAGAAATCACACCATTTTGTACAAAGATGACATTTCTAGGGTCCTTTCAGTTCACAAACTTCCTTCACATCCATTACCTTTTAAAAATGCTTTTATTGATTTCAGAGTGGAAGGGAGAGGGAAAGACAGAAACATTGATGAGAGAGCAACATGGATCCCACACCTAGGCATATGCCCTGACCAGGAATCAAACAGGTGACCTCCTGGTGCACAGGACGATGCTCAACCAGCTGAGCCATACCCGCCCAGCACTCCATTGCTTCTTGATTGATGACTGCATTTGGAGTGCTGGGTCATCCATTTGAGCATCTACCATGTGCCAGCGATCTACTCCAGACAGAAGTCAAGAAGGGAGTATCAAAAGTGTTTGCAAGGGCTGGAAGGTTACCATTTAGAATACGGTAGACAGGATAGATGATGTTCAAGAAATTGACACGAGCATTTCAAAAGTACCTTTGGACAAGAAATTAGAGAAGAGATATGACAGAGATCCCAGGGCAGGAGCAACTAGGTTATTTCCTGGAGCAGCAAGGTCAGTTTGCTGGAGAAAAACGAGTAGGGAGGGTACAGCTGAGAATACAGGAGAGTGTAGATGGAGTCAATCCCGGAGGCTTAGAGGGCCCAGTGGGCCATTTCAGGGACTTGAAGCTTTTCCTTTACTACAGGAACGCCGAGTCTCATTTTAAGCTGAAGGACCAGTGAGATTGGACTTTCAATCCAAAAGGAACACCCAGGCTGCAATCTAGAGAACAGACTGAGATGAAGGTGGGGGAGAGGAGGAGCACCAGCGATCAAACTGGCCACACCTGCAATCAGTAACCCTGAACTTGATTGTGTCGTAGCCAATAAGGCAAGAAGTGATTCACCTGGATACCGTTTGAAAACTAGAGCCCACGGAATTTCCCACTAGATTAGAAAGTCAGGGATCACGCAAATATTTTAAGCCCGAACTAGAAAAATACAGAAAGGTACTTTGTGTTATCACATCTACCCCTTCCCCCAACTCCAAGAGAGGAACCCCCACACACACTCAAAGGTGAGGCTCAAAGTAACACCTCGGCGTCCTCGTATTTCCCGAGTCACTACCTCGCTCTTCTAAGATGAAATCCCCCCCTTTCCTTCCGCTTTCACTATTAGGAAATAAACCTAGGGCTTCTTAGAACCTACATTCCCCCCCGCCCTGCTCTTCTTGGCTTCTTAGCTTTCACACCCCTAAAGTTTCTGCTCTCAGCAGCCATTTTCCAGGGAGGGCGACTCCCCTTTAGTCATGTTTTCAAAAAAGAAAAAAAAAAAACCACTATGTTTGCAAAACCCCAGCCGGCGCCTCACAGCTTCTGCAAACACAGGGCACTGACTGGGCGGAAACTAGTGGCTTAGAAACGCCAGCCACGCAAACACAGGCACGAACATCACCCCCTCTGCCCCCCGCACCCTCACCCAACACGCGCTGGTGCTGCCAGCGCCCCCAAAGCTTCAGCAAAGGCCCGCCTCGAGCAGCCCACCCTGCCTTCCCGCGCAGCCCCAGCACCCTCGCCCTCCCGCTCCGGGATAAGCTCTGCCGCCCAACGCGGCCCGCGCAGCCTTATCACGGGGCCGCATAGTGACGCCACTTCCGGAGGCGGGGCCCGCGCCCGGGGGAGGGGCGGCAGGTCCGCGCAGGCTCGCTGGGGCCGCAGCGCCGAGCCGAGCGCTTGACTATATATGGTCAAAGCTGGGGGCGAGCCGCGCGCGGGGCCGCGCTTCCGGGTTCGGCGCGTCCGCAGCGGCAGCGCGCAGGGCAGGGCGCGAGCGGACCTCGGAGCCCCGGCCTCGGACCGCCCCCTCCGCGTCCGGCACGCCCGGCGCCGCCTTTCGGTCCCTTTCCCCGGCTCGGCCTCGGCCAGGTCTGATCGGCGCGCGGGCGGCCCCGAGGGTCTCGGCGAGCGCGGCGCGGTAACAAGTGGGCGAGGATGCCGTACGAGATCAGTAAGTGCCGCGGCCAGGTCCGCGGGCTCGGCGCCCGCTGCCGGCCGCTCGGCCAGCGGCGGGGCGGGGGCGGCTCGGCGGGGTCCGCGGGCGCGGGGGAGGGGTGCGGGTGCAGGCCGGCGATCGGCCGGCCACCCTCGGGGGCGACCACGGCTCGGGGGCCCCCGAAGTTGGAGCTGCGGGCCGGGCCCTGTGGAGCCCCCGAAGGGCCAGGCGGGGGATCGGGGACCAGGAAGTCGCACGGTCTCCTGCGCTCCTTCAAAGTGGCGGCCGCCCCTCCCGGTGGAGGCAACAGGTGACCGGCTGAGACCGGTCCTGCGCCCCTGCCCACCGCCCTCCGCCCGGCCGGGCCCGGGGGGCGCTCCTAACGTGCGCCGCTGCGTTTGTGTCTCCGCAGAGAAGGTGTTCGCCAGCCTCCCCCAGGTGGAGAGAGGCGTCTCCAAAATCATCGGCGGCGACCCCAAGGGCAATAATTTTCTTTACACCAATGGGAAGTGCGTCATTCTAAGGAACATCGACGTGAGTACCCCCTTCCCCCCACCAAGCGCTGGCTCCGACCCCGCAGCTCTCAGGTGAAGGCTCCTTCCCCTTCCACCGGTTGGTCTCTGCCCCCGGAGGAAGAGGACACCACGCCCCCTCTGCTTTGGGGCCACACCTCAGAAGCCCAGGAAGACCGTTTGAAGCCTGGTTCTCCTTTTTTCACGGGGAAACTGAGGCTCAGGTTGGTTCATCCCAGAAGCATAAGGGCTCTGGACTTGGGGGATCACACAGGCCGATCCCTGCTGCCTGACCTTGGGGTGGTTGATGACTTGCACCTCTCTGAGCCCCAGTTTCCTCATCTGTAAAATGGAGGTGGTGAGATATGGCTCCCCCCACTTCCTGTAGCTCCCCTGTCCACTGAATGAGATGAGGCTTCCCTCTAGCCCAGCGTGCCTGGCACACACCCAGCCCTTGTTAAATGGCACTTTTAATCGTTGTTAACACCCAGGGTCTCCAGTGTGGCAGAGCCCGGCTCAGACCCAGGTTTCTGCATCCCAGCCTCATCGTCCCCCTGCAGATCTGCGCTCCAGGGCAAAATCAAGATCAGAAACTGGTTAATTCCCATGACTCACTGGCACAGGCTGGCATCCTGCCCCCAGGCTGAGAATTGCTTCCAAAGCCATTTCCTTGGGAAAGTCTCGCAGATTTCTGCTGCTACTCTAGGGCTACTGGAACGACCCAGGATTGCACACTGAAATCTCCCTGACTCAGCTCCAGTGATGGAATGGGGGTGGGAGCTAGAGGTGCCAGCAGGACCATTTAGGGTGTGGGGGGTGTTCTCCTGAGCTGGGCTTGGGCCTTTCACACAGTATGGAGATGGGTGATTTTGCTTGATGATGCTCCCTGGGGGTGTCAGCTTCAGCTCACATCATGGTGGGTAGTTGTGCTTTGTGGGTTGAGATGACCACTGATCAAACGTTTGCCTTCAGGAACCTCACAACCGGCTGAGGGAAGGAAGGGCTCTGTGGACCTCGGCTTCCTAGTATGTAAAGGAGAGGCCTCTGGGGTCAGAGGTGCTGCTGGCTCTGCCCCATCTCCCTGGTGAAGCCAGTTACTGCTGTTTCTCTGCTGCAAAACGGAGCACCAGTTTCTGCCCAGGGTTGCTGGGCACCTCAAGTGAGGGGGCGGGTGGTTGTGAATGTGCTTTGGAGGTGCTAACAGCTACTCTGCTCGTCACACGATTCCTAGAAAGCTGTTCTGGTCTTGCTCAGAGCTGGGGGAAGCATTGCCAAGGGCTGAGATCATAATGGTCCAGAGGTCTGCAGAGTGAGGGCCTGAAATTCTGAGGAAAGCTGAGATGGCCCTACGTAGGTACTCACTTGTAGTTTGGGAAATAAGGTGGACCCCTTGGGCAGGCAGGTATCATGGCCGTTCACATTGCCTTCCAGATGTGAACCTCACATGCAGTACTGGCTGTGTCTGGTACCGTGACTATGTCTTATGCTGCAGCAGCGTCTTTAACCCCTTAATGGGCCCACTGCTCTGAAGGGGCGTCAGGCTCGGTAAGGTGAAGGAGGCTGGGAGCTGGAGCTGGTTCCAGTGGAAAATCTCAGAGCAGTGAATAAGCACCCCCTTTGCAAGAGGCATCCCCTAACTTGGGAGACCCTGCTGCTCACGTCTTCCATCCTCCTGTGAGGATGCATTAGCTTTCACTTTCCATCTGTTTGTAGGTCTCTGTAGGGCCAGGACGGTATGGATGCTGCTGCTGTGTCCATCCTTATGCTGGGTGTACCTCGGGCACGTGGGTTCTTGTTGGATTGGTCAGCACTTGGTTCTTCTGTCAAGGTGGTACGATGGTTATTAGGGCACAGAACCCCTGTGAAAAAAGAAGAGTCCTCATCTAGGCACAGGGACCAGGAAGGAAGGTGGCCGGTTAGAGTACAGGCTCAGTGGAGGAGGGGAACCGGGAACCGGACATGGAATGTCTGATTGGCATTTCACCCTTCCCGTGCCCAGGCCTCATTTGGGTTTCCCATGTGTCCTTCCCCTCAGAACAGTGATGCAGTTCTCCAGCTGTTCAGGCCTCAAGCCTTGGACTTGACTCCCCACGTCCCTTCCACACCCTGTTAATTCTTCACAGAGTCCTGTTGACACTACCTTCAAAGTAACTTCAGAATCTGACAAGTTTTCACTACATCCTCTGCTTCTACCCTCCTCCAAGCCACCATCCTCCCTCCTGGATGGCAGAAACAAAAACACCCCTAACGGGGCTCCCTGCTGGCACCCTGGCTCCCCCAGTCTGGCCTGAGTACCGCAGGGATGGTTATATTAGACCGAGCTGCTCCCTGCTGTCCCGCCCTGTGGCTGCGGGGCCGCCATCCAGCCTCACGTGGCACCTACGCTCTGCTCCAGGCAAAGCCCATAGGAGTCTGTCCTTGGTGTTCTGTCTCAGAGGGAAGACCAACTCTCAGGAGCTCAGGTTCAGACGATAGAGGACACAGAGGTGCCCTGGGCCACTCACCACAGGAGGCTCCAAGCGCCCGCGGGCTCAGGGATGTCACCTGGAGGATCGGGGGGACCAGTCAGGTGGAGTGTGGGTAGTGAGAGGTCTCCACAGTTTGGGGGCCTGGAGAGGCAGTTGTGGCTGGAGCACTGGGCGTGGGGAACACATGGGACAGGCAGGCCAGGTGTGCAGGGCTCCGGTGGCGGGTGTCAGGCAGCCCTCCTACAGAGCCCGGCCCTGGTCCAGAGGGCAGCAGAACCCCTGAAAGGCGGTGCAGCCAATGATTTAGTCTGTGATAGAGGAATCATTCTGTATCTCAGACTTGAGGCGGGGGGGTGGGGGGGGGGGTCGGTTAGGAAGCTACTCACGATTAACGCAGCACTTAGCAAGTGCCGTCAGCTGGTCCAGCCAGTCCTTGCTTCCTGGTGTTTCCCACACCTTCAGCCTGTCTTGCTGAGCCCTGCCCATGGCCAGTGCACAAGATCGAAATCAGTGGTTCTCAGGCAGTTTTACCCCCACCCCCTTAATGGATACTTGGCAATGTCTGAGGGCATTTTTGTGCTATTGGTATCTACTGGGTAGAGGCCAGGGATGTTGCCAAATACCCTACAATTCACAGGACTGCCCTACAGCAAAGACTAACGCGGCCCAGAATGTCAGTAGTGGCCGTTGAGGAGCCCTGACAGCCGGCGTTCTCGCGCACTAGGTAAGCACCCGAAGGAGCAGTGTCCTGACTGAGTCGGGAACAAGGAGGAACAGCCATCTGCCACAGAGCAGCAGGGAAGCCTTCTGGAGAAAGGCATATTTGAGTTGGTTTTGGAGGATGAATTTTGGGTTCTCCAGGAAGAAGAATGAGATAGAGACAGCAGCGATGGGGAGAATCTAGACAGCGGTTCTCAACCTGTGTGTCGCGACCCCTTTGGGGGGGTCAAACAACTCTTTCACAGGGATCGCCTAAGACATAACAGTAGCAAAATTACAGTTATGAAGTAGCAACGAAAATAATTTTGTGGTTGGGGTCCACCACAACATGAGGAGCTGTATTAAGGGTCACGGCATTAGGAAGGTTGAGAACCACTGATCTAGAGGGAATCACGTGTGCACCGAGTTTGGAAGAAGTCTGCGTCCTCTGGGCACCATTAAGGACCTCTGCAGGGTGGTTTTGGTATATTTCTTACCCTGTTGATGGAGGTGTGGAGATTCATCAAAGCCTTTGAGATAAAAGAAAAGGTTGCAGCCTCATGTTTGAGGCCAGCAGAGGGGTGCTCATATTTCTGGTTGGATTGTGGAGTTGACTTTTCCTGGGAATGATTGGGAGATGCTTACGCAAATCCCTGCCCAGTCCCAGCCCTTAGAAAGTGCCCTTCCCCCGCCACCCAGCTCCCTCTACCCGCTTCCCCATACAGGGCTTTATTATAGATGGCGTACGTGGAGTGGAAAGGGCCCTTTGTCCTCGCAGGGTCTCCATGGTGGAGTCTCCTCGGCTTTGTGGTGATGCAGCCCTTAGAAAGACCTGGATTTTAAGCTTTGGTCACTGGGCTTGTGGCTTCTTACCTCTGCTTTCCAGGGCCTTCCCCAGAAAAGGGCGGTTCCTCTACCGTAGACTGAACGTGAATGTCATCATACATACTCTAGGCCCGCCCCATTGTCCAGGAGCACTGGCAGAGTCCAGTCCAGCACACTGCCCTGAGCCCCGCCTCTGGCATCTGAGCTGGTCTTCGATGGGCACATTTTGTGTCTGGCAATGGCCAAGCACTTAGAACACTTGTCTCTTTCAGTTCGGTTTGCACATGTGTAAGAATGATGTTATTACAGGGTCAGTGTGAGAGTTAACTGAGTTCATTCACAAGCATCCCTAGAAGGTTGCCTGTTGGTGACACTACTGTCTTTAGAGACGAAGACACGAGTCCAGGAGGTGCTGTGATCTGAACCAGAGCAGCCGCCCCTAGTCTTCTGTCGTGACTCTTCAGAAGGCCCTGGGCAGGCAGAGGGACAGGGAGGACAGGAAGGGGGGTGGCAGTGTCTTGTGTCCAGTGGGCCACTGGCATGCCTAGGGTCATGCAGGGAGCCCTCAAGGCCCTTGTTCTAAGGTTTGCTTTGCTTCCTTGGGAAGGGGTTGAGCTGAGAGGCAGGAAGGAAAAGGAGAGATTACTGCTTGGAGCATCAGGGAAGGCTTCTTGGAGGAGGTGGCCTTTGCCTGGATGTTAAAAGATAATTAGATCTTTTTGGGTATTGGATAAGAGTGGAGGCATTCCAGACCAAGGCAGGTAAAGGGAAGAATATCAGTGAGGTAGTGATTTGATGGGGGAGCTTCGAGGGTGAAATGGACTTTGGCTCCTAGGTTAGGGCTACATTTCTCTCTGCAGGAACAAATGGACTGTACTTTGTCATTCTTGCTGCCCTTTGAGGCGGTGTGGTCGGGGCTCCGCCTCTGGGTTCAGATCTGTGGGTCTGGAAGCACAGGTTTGTGTGTGGGTGCTTGGCAGTGATTTTAATTTGGCCTTAGTCACCCTGAAGTCCCTGAGGATGTTAACACACAGGTCCAGCTCTCAGAGGCTGCTTTCGGGAGCCGGGAGTGTTTAGAAAGCCAGGACTCTGGAAACACAGCTCTCCGGGACTGTCGCGCTCCCCTCCCCTGGTCAGCGTCTGGAGGATGACAGATCTGGCAGCTCCAGGGGACCTGTGGCAGCTGCAACAGCACAGACGCCCCCCTCGGGCTGTTTCATGTCAGATAGCTTCAGCAGTGGGTGGTCCAGAGGCCGTCCTCACCCCCTGCCACGCCCTGTGACCCAGGCCATCATCACTCAGCCTTACCTCAGCACCCCGACTGAGGGATAGGAAAGCTTTGGGGGCACAGGGGTGGCTCAGAAAGACACTGCCCGGGACACAGCACATTTAAGTAATTCTCCCTTCTGTGCGGCATGTAGCCAGTCCCCTCGGGCAGGGCAGGGCAGGGCCTGGGAAGGTGTTGGCAGGATTTGCTCCATGTGCCGCTCCTGGGGAGGGCCCTCAGCCAGGTGGGAGGCAGGAGGGCTCTGGGGGTGGGCCCCGCACCGGCCTTCCAGCAGGGAGGCAGGATGGGCTCTGGGGGTGGGCCCCGCACCGGCCTTCCAACAGGGAGGCAGGACGGGCTCTGGGGGTGGGCCCCGCACCGGCCTTCCAGCAGGGAGGCAGGAGCGCCCTCACCTTGCTTGTGCAGATGTGTGACGGGGCGGCCTGTGGTCCTGCAGCTCCTCGCGTTATGAGTGCTCTCCTAGTGTCTTCCGTGTCGTGCCTCCAGTCCAGGGTTTTAGGGAAGTGGCTGAGCTCAGGTAGGCCCTGCGCTGGGCCCTGAGTTCAGGAAGGGGACACCCTGTGGGAGGGGGGTCAGGGTCAGGGCAAGTTCTTTTCTGCCCTGGGCATGAAGGGGCCTTGGGGGTCAGGCCCTGCAGCTCCTGAAAGAAGGATTCCAAGGGGGCAATGAGGTGATCAGAGTTGGGACCCAGAAACCAGGGTGGATTGATGGATGGAGAGACCAGTTTAAAAGATGCCATCGTGGTCCAGGGGCACGGGAAGAGCTAGACGGAAAGAAGGGGTGGTTTGGGAGCTGTTAGAAGACTGGGCAGGGCTGGGACAGGCTGGGCTGAGGAGTGAGGGGCAGGGCTGGGGTAGCAGGCAAGGCAGCAGGAGGTTCAGTGGCTCTGCCAGCCTCTGCCCACATCCGTGGGCAGCCACAGGGCCCCCAGTGCCAGGGCATCTCCTGTCTCAGGTCTGTCCTGTAACTCAGAGCTGGTGTCGCCTGCAGCAGCCCAGGAAGGAAGTCCTGAAGGAGGGTTGCCCCAGCCTCTGCACCCCTTGGGCAGCCCCTGGAGCCTGCTCTGAAGGTCGCCCGAGGACCAGGGAGGTGGCCCCTGTCCCAGCAGGAGTGCTCCTTGGTGCTCCCAGATCTGTCTGCCCTCCCTCCCTGACTTATTTTCTCTGGTTCAGAGCCCTGTCCCAAATCGCCCCAAATCCTGCTTTTGTTCCCCAAGACAGCGGAGATGGGAGGAGTGGGAAGAGATGCTGCCCCTGGGAGGCTTGGGCATGGGCGCTGGGTCTGAGTCCTGGCGCCACCTAGACCCTGCTGATGTGGAATGAGCCTGGCCTGTGCTGGGGCACATTGGGGACGGGCGGTGTCATTTCTGCCTCTGGTAGGCAGCTTCCCTGTGTGAGGAGCAGTGGGAAGGAGGTGGCCGAAGACTCGGCAGTCATGTTCGGCTGGTGGCTCCTGCCCCCCCCCCCCCCCCAGCCCAATTGCATTCGGAAGAGTGATATCTCATCTAGCCCGGGATTTTGGTGCTGAGCCTGCCGGGGACCGGCGTGGGAGTTTCACATGCCCTGTGCTTGCGGACGCCCTGCCCATTTAGGGGAAGGAATTCTTAGGACAGGACCTCCTCCCAAGGTCATTTATCCCTCCCTGAAGGCCCCTTTTAAAGGCACTGCGGGGTGGTGACCAGGTCACCAGGCTGTGAGTGCCAGTATGGGTGGGTAGTTGCCCTCGGGGTGGCCTCTCATCTGTAAAGTGGGCTGGACCACCGTGTGGGTGTAGGACTTTGGTCGGCGTAGAGACGGACCCCTGAACCAGGCCCTCGGTGGTGGCGGGTCTGTGTGCCCAGCTTTTCCCGAGGGAGCTCATCAGTGTCAGTCCTGAGAGTGGAGGCAAATCGGGGCAGGAGTGGGTTGGACAGGCAGATTTAATGGCTACCAGGCAAGTTCCTTTTGTTGGAGGGTAATTTAGATGCAAACGTCCCTCCATTTTTATTTTTATTTATTTATTTTTTTATCCTCACCTGAGGACATTTTTCCATTTTTTTGTTGAGATAGAGTGGGAGGGAGAGAGAGAAACACCGACGTGAAAGGGACACATCGAGTGGCTGCCACCCACACAACCCAACCAGGGCCGGGGACAAACTGCAACCGAGGTACATGCCCTTAGCGGGAACCGAACCCGGGACTCTCCAGACCGCTGGCCGATGCTCCAACCACTGAGCCAAACCAGCCAGGGCTCCCTCCATTTTTAGTACGTGCAGGTTGCGTTTCGCCAACTATACTTTGTCCTGTGACCATAACAGGCATTCCCGTCGTTGCACAAAGCGCCCTGCCCCCAGCCCTAGCGGGGACCGGTCTGCGCTGTCCCTTCAGGTCGCCTTTTCTAGAATTTCTGGGAAAGGAGTCGTGTGTGGGGCGTGTTGGGAGTGATGCTAGCTGTTCTCTTGGTAGCGACTCGACTCGGATCAGAGGTTCCTCCGCCTCCTGTCGGGAGACCTGGGTGGTTTCTGGTTCTGGGCCCTCATGGACACGGCTCTCTGAGCCTTCGTGGATGTGTGTTTCTTTCTCTTGAGTAAATGCCTGGACGTGGATTGCTGGTTCTGCTCGGTAAGGGTATGTTACCAGCCCAGCTCTTTCCTGTTTTAAATCCCCGCCAGCAGTGCGTGCACCTTCCGGTGTGTTTGTCCCCTCCCGGCCCCGCGTGCTTGCTGACGTTTGGTGGCACCGGTCTTTCAGGGGTGTCGGTTCCAGGGGCACATGTGCTGTCCATCCATTGTGCTGTGCTTGGCACTCCCGGGGGACGAGTGGGTGCCTAGCACCTTTCCATTTGCTGTTGTGCCGCCCGTAGCATGTTGTTGGGATACCTGCTATTTCCTGATTTCATTAGCAAATGTTTATTCCGAGATGAACTAATTTATGAGTCACGTGTATTAAATGCCTACTTTGTCACATCATAATAAATGTTAAGTGTTAGGGGTGAAAGAGAAGGACTATGAAACTTTTTTCCTTCAAAAATCATTTATTGCCTGGCCGGTTTTGCTCAGTGGTTAAAAAGCATGGGCCTGTGGACCAGAGAGTCCCAGGTTCGGTTCCTGCTAAGGGCATGTACCTCGGTTGCATTTGTCCCTGGCCCTGGTTGGGGTCTTGTGGATGGCAGCCAATCGATGTGTCTCTCTCACATCGATGTTTCTCTCTCTCTTCCTCCTTCTCTTCCTCTCTCTCTGTCTGAAGATGGATGCAAAAATGTCCTCCAGTGAGGATTAAAAAGTAAGCATTTATTGAATACTCATTTTCTGCTGACTGCTGTGATGGCTAAAGAGGGAGATGCACCGGGGGGGGTGAGGGACCGGAGCGTGTGTCACAGCTGCCTCTGGGACGTGTGGGATGCTTTGGGAGCACAGAAGAGAGAGGATGTGCCATCACGGGAGGCTTCCTGGAGGAGATGGCTCTGTGGTTAGGGCTGATGCATAAGTAGTGTTAGCAGCTAACGAGAGGTGTTGCTGGCCAAGGGAACAGCATTCACAGAGACTTGGGGTGACCAGGATTGGGAGAAGGTGGCCAGTGGTTGACAGGGCTAGAATTTAGGATGCTCTTCTCTGGTCTCTGTCTGGTGGGATGGGGGTGGGGCGTGCAAGGATCCTATGGCCCGGAGGCTGAGCCGAGTATAGGCCTCTGATCTTGCAAAGAGATGAGGGAGGGGAGATCACAGGTTGGCTAGAACAGGTCGAGGGACAGTTGGGGTCCAGTTAGTCACAGCTGCTGCTTCCGGAAAGCTGGGCGGCCTGGCTGCATGGATCCTGTGTCCGCAGCCCGGTCTGTGGGAAGCTGCCTCTTTTCAAAGAGCACTTGGTTCATAGAGAGCTGACAGCGGGTACCAGGGATTCAGTGGCCGAGTCTTTATTCTCTCCTGAAAGCAGGCGCTGCTGTGGAGACAAAGCAAGAGCATCTCAGTGTCTCCAGGTGTGCCGAGGCTTCCTGGGTGCGTCCGGGAGGGGGAGGGGTCTCCTTTCACTAAACCACATGCTGAGACCTTCCCGTTGGGTCGTAAAGCTACTCCTGCTCCCCAGTGCCAGCCCTGTTCTAGCTGCAGAGTCCAGCCAGCCCTTGGTCTGTGCTACAGAAGGGGGTGGGAATCTGTGTTTCCCACGCAAGGGTTTTTACAAGGAGAGGCTCCCAGCCACATGCCCCCTCTGTTCTCATGCCTCAAAGCCAGAGGCTCTGTTTTGGGTCCTGTCCCACGTGGCAGCCAGGACAGGGCTGGTTCTGGCAGGGAGACCGGCTGTGATCGGAGGGGGCAGCTGCAGCGTTCACAAGTAGGAGAGAACGGCTCGGATTCTCCACGGAGGCTTCCATTTCACGTGTACACGTCACAGACACACTAGAGAAAGTGACCGTAAACCTTTCTGGGCCTTAGTGACCGTGACTTCCCTAACCGGAGACGAAAGACAGAGTTAAAATGACTAGAACTCTGTCGCCCAGAGAGAGGCAGGCAGTAGGTGTGGGGGCAGGTAGGTATACGGGGTCTTCTTCATGATGCTTTTGACGTAAGGTTAGTGGGGGTGTCATTTCCCCCGCGAGCCCATCAGTTGGGAGAGTAGGAATTGGTTTGACTGCTTCCACACGCCTGTGTTCACTGCGTCTCCTCCCCGCAGAACCCAGCCCTCGCCGACATCTACACGGAGCACGCCCATCAGGTGGTGGTGGCCAAGTACGCGCCCAGCGGATTCTACATCGCCTCTGGAGGTACCCGTGTGCGTGGCTCGTGGGCGTGTGTGCGGTGGCCGAGGTGGCCCTGGGAGGGTGGGGAGGTTGTAAGGGATGTGGGGTGGCGGGTGGAACCAGCGTGACAAAAGTATAAGGCACCGGGAAGCCCCATTCCATTACTCTCCGTCTGCAGCCTGCTGGCTGGTTTCCGCCCCGAGGTCGGCAGACATGCTTGAGGCAGGCCGAGGCCTTTGCTGTGTCGTGATTGCTGGAGCCGGGGGGTATTTCTGAAGTATGGCTTTGGCTGTGGCTCGTGCGCCGGTATCCGCTGTTCCTTTCCCAGTACCTGGCACAGCGCCGGCCTCAGCCTCGCCCAGCGCTCCTCCTCCTCGGTCCGGGCCTGAGCTCTCCGGCCGGGCTCCGCTCAGTAGGCAGCTGGGCACGCAGGCCTCGGCCCTCTAGGGTGCTGTCTTGATCCACCTGGTCCTTGGAGGTAGATCTTTTACCATTACAGGTGAGAAAGGGAGGCCCAGAACTTAACAGCGACTTACCCCACCCCATGACCCCTCCATTCACACTCAGCAGGCATTTATTGTCAGCCTTGCCCATGCCCGGCCGGACTCAGGCCCCCGAGAGAGCCAGGGGGCAGCTGGTGTGGCCCTCCTCCGCGTGCCCAGAGCACGGCAGACAGAACCAGATTGCTAAGGAACTGCCCAGCCAGTAGGGGCGGGCAGGATTCACACACACTAGGGGCTGTCTGTCCTCACTGCCCTTGTTCCATGCACGGACCTGTCCCTGATGGGAGCACCCCACACTAGCTACACAGCCTTCCTTGAGCACCTTACCTTCCTGGGCCTTCGCTTTCTCTTCTGTGAGCGGGAAGGGCCGTGGGCCACTGTGCAGTGCTGGTGCTCACCAGGTCGGTGTGGCAGTGCAGGTCAAATACCGAGGACGGCTCCTGCATAGCGGGCACCTGACAGCAGGTGACCAGAGCGTCTGTCACCAAAACCGGGATGCACCAGGATGACGGGTGCTGAGTGCAAAGCCAGCTGGCCTGGGTTGTATGTGGAGGGCTTGGCCAGGAGTCTGGCACATAATGGGCACTTAATGATTTTTGTGTTTTGACCTACTCCAACTTCAGCTGTAAAACCTGCTCTGATTTATATCCTGTGATTTCCTGTGAGTTTTTTTTTATTTTTTATTCTGGCCTAGCTTGCCAGCAAACCGCCTCTTCAAACCCCAAGATTTGCCCCTGGTGCCTTTTCAAAGTGTCTTCTCAGGAGAGAAATGTGGTTGGAGGCCCCCATTGCCTGCTTGGTGCAGTTTCCCTGCCCTGGTGCGTTGAGCCAGGTGTCTGCTGCTGAATCACTGGCAAGCCCAGGCCTGCCCTGTCCTGTCCCCTGGCAGGGAATCAACCAGACAGTAATAGGCAGCCTCAGATGCTAATTCAGTCAGTGCAGAGGGCGGAGTCAGTGAGGAAGGCGGAGTCTGCGCAAAGGGCGGAGTCCTGCAGAGGGCGGGGTCTGCGAAGAAGGCAGCTTGGGCTGCCACAGCACAGCCTGCACCAGTGAGGGTCAGCTCCACGTTCCCCTAGCGTGCCCTCATGAGTGCAGGAACCCAGGGACACTTGGCTGCCCGCGGGTCCAGGTGTTCTCAGGTGGAGCTCACGTTTACGAGTGCAGTGTGGGCGTCGGTTGCCCAGGTTGAAGACAAGGACACACTTACTGCAGAGATGAGAGCCCTAGGCTATACTAAACTGTGCTGTTTGTGGAGAGAGGAGGAGGCTGAGAGCACTGTGCTCTGGCTAGTGTGCTACCTGATACCTGCTGTGCCCGCGGGCAGGTGTGGCAGGGCCTAGGGAGACCTGCTGCTCACGCCCAGATGGGGTGCCAGTTCTCTGCTGGACTCTCAGGTCCCTGAAGTCTGGCTGGCACATCTGCCAGCTGTCTGAACCCTCTGGAAGGCCTGTTTGAGGAAGCCATGCCACGCCTGGGCCCCAGCCCTGAACAAGGCAGTCCGTGTCTGCCTTCAGGGAGCCACGGTACCACGTGATGCGTCTTAGTGTGGAGGGGTCTCCAGGGCAGGTCCACTTCCCTCTTTCTAACGGTGGCTTCCTGGGGCAACTTGGATGCTGGTGGTGTGTGCCTGTGCTCAGTCCCCTGGGTGCCCAGATGACCCTCAGAAAGCGGTAGCCTCAGCTGCACAGGGCCAGGCTTTCCGGATCAGGCCCCGAGCCTGGAGAAGGGTGTGAGTGTCACTCAGTGGAAGAACATGGAGAAGGATCAGGCTGCAGAGTTGTGAACAGAGGCCTCGCTCTGGTCACGTGTCCCCTTGCACTGTGGTGCAGCCGACACGCGTGGACGTGTGTGTGTTGTCTGTCCCCCTTGAGACCTCAGGCAGGTGCTGTGCCCCCAGCACTCAGCGTGGGCTTGGCACCCATGGCCCCCCATTGTTCTCTGGTGACTGCCCCAGGGCTGCCTGGTCAGATGGGACCTAGTGCCTGGTCTCCAGCCCCGAAGTGTTTTTCTGGCCCCAGGTGCTTCTGAAAATAACTCGATGAGCACGCAGGGCCTGACGGAGGAGGCCGTGGGTCTGGTGGGGGAGGCAGCAGGGAGAGGTTGGTGCCTGGGTGGGGCCTGAGCTGGCAGAGCCCAGGGAGGTGGGAGAGTGGGGTTCGCCGGGTGCAGGTGGGGCGCTCTGGATCTTGTGCTGTGGCCGTGTTCTCTGTGGCTCAGTGCAGGCCCTGGACAGCCTGCTGTGTGCCCGGTGTGCCCGCGAGCCCTTCTGCACCCACGCTGCTCCTTCCTGGCACTGCCAGCCTGTTTGGTGAAGGGACTCAGTGAGGTCCCTCGGGTGACATGCCAGGCCATCTTTCTAGACTTTGCCCTCTGGGAGCCCCCTCGGTTAGTGACGTTCACGTGAACAGCAGTGTGCCCCCTCTCTGCCCCACCTGCTCGGGTGCCAGGTGTTTGCTCCCAGTGAGGGGCCTCCTGCAGAGCTTGAGGTGGCTCACCGACTCGTTGTGACTGCAGACTTGGAAGGAGAGCCTGTGGTGTCCTGGGGCTAGTCTGAGACCTGACGCCTATTGACTCCTTTTATCTTCGCGACAGCCCCTGCTGGTCCTGTGGTTCCCCCCGTGGCGGCGGTTGTAGGTGTTTGGGGCCCGGGAGCTGGCCTGAAAGCCATTCCCAGGAGCCGCCGTAGAGTTGGTGTCGAGTGCTGGAGTGGGCCTGGGGTCCCAGGAACAGTGCCCACGGGCCTGCTGGGGGCTTCGCCGGCCTGTCCAGCCTGAGGATTTAAGCCTCAGTGTTAGTGTCAGGTCCTCCTTTTTTCCTGCTATTTGAGGAATTCTGTACTCCTGTGGGAGGGGTGTTTGTGGGTTGGTACTTGGAATCTGGTGACAGGCTGGTGGCAGGGACAGGGCTGTTACTCTGTCACTAACCCACGGCGGATGCTACAAGGCCTGGCACCCGGTTCTGTCTGTAGTACAACTCCTCCAGCACCCACTCGGGCCATCTGACAAAAGGCTTACACCTCAGCTGTGATTGTGGAGTTGTGCTGTGCTGTAACCAGTGCGGCTGCTGACTGCCTGAGGCGTGGGCCAGGAACTGCGAAGGGGCGGGTCTGCAGATTCTGTGGGGCCACCGTGCACATCCAGCATGCACCGGGCTGCAGCAGCTGCGTGGGAGAGCAGCGGTCCTAGCGTGTTCACCTTGTGCAGATGAAGAACTTCATTTCCCTGGTGTTGAGGAAGTTGCCCAAGGCCCGTGTGCCTTTGGGGCTGCACCCCAGTGCCTGGGGCGGGCCTGTGTCCCTGGGCTTACTGCTGCTTGCGCAGACCTTGTAATCGAGTGCTCACAGGGCACAGACCCAGCAGATGTCCTCAGAGGCCGCAGGCTCAGCGAGTGGCTGGGTATTGTTTACCTGCAGCACATCCCTCCTCCCGGGCGGCATGGGCCAAATGCAGCAGGCCTGTGCCCCAGGAGGTGCTGTGCGGGCATGCCTTGTGCCCACCCGGCCTTGGACCTGTGGTGACCATGGCTCTTGCTGCCCCATTGTGTCCACAGATGTGTCCGGGAAGCTGAGGATCTGGGACACCACGCAGAAGGAACACCTCTTGAAGTACGAGTACCAGCCTTTCGCTGGGAAGATCAAGGACATCGCCTGGACAGAGGACAGTAAGAGGATCGCAGCGGTCGGGGAAGGAAGGGAGAAGTGAGTCTCTGGCCTCGGCCCTCCCTCCGTGTCCCCCGATCTGATTCCTCGGGTGTCCCTAGTGGGAGGGGTGCGGTGACATCAGTGTGCCAGCTTGGACGAGTGTCTGTTCAGTCCTCATGGGTGCCAGGCCCTGGGCCTCCTCACAGAAGTATGACTGGCATGGGCCACCGGCTCCTTCTGGGTGGGCTTCAGTGATGTGGAACAGTGGGGAGCCCCTCAGGGTTTGTCTCAGGGCCTGGGCACCTCCTCTGTGCCCCTGGAGTCTGGGAACTCCTGCCATCATGCCCACATTCCAGGTAGCAGGAGGGAGAACATGAGAGACTCAGCTCTCAAAGAGTAGCACTGGGGTCCCTCCCAGCAGCTGCCACAGGGCACACTGGCTGCCAGGGAGACTGGACATTTCCCTGCTGGGTAGGTGGCCCTCTGTGGCTCTGCACTCATGGGTCTAGTGACCAGCAGGGTCATTACCACAACCCAAGTTTTCTAAGTGTCAGGGTCTTCTCTAGGACACCACGCTGCCTTCAAGGACTTGAACTTGACAGCACATGTCTAGCTCCCTTACTGGGAGGTTCTTTTTAATGCGCATTGTGGTTGGTGTCCATTCTTCAGTGTTTCAGGTCATTCTTGTTGGCCTTAACAATTCCTTTTCCACTTGATTGTAAATGGTAACTAAAACAATGTGTTTTCGCTGAATGCCAGCCGAGAGCAAGGCTCCGTCCTCTCTCTAGGAGGTGGTGGTAAGTGGTGCATGTCCCGGTCCTCCCGAGGCACCTTCCACCCGGGAGGCTTGGTGTGGGCCACACGACGTGGACCCTCCAGCCCTCCCGAAAGGCACTGTGTTCAGCTCTCAGTGCCTGGATGAGCGTGTGACCTGGACGAGCGTGTGTGAAGTGTGTCCGGAGCCAGGGCGGAACTGGCCACTCGGCTGCCCCTGTCTCATTGGCTGTCTCAGAACTGACTTTTCTTTTCCTGTGACTCTTCTCGTTGAGTAAAGGTTTGGAGCCGTCTTCTTGTGGGACAGTGGCTCTTCTGTGGGCGAGATCACGGGACACAACAAAGTCATCAACAGTGTGGACATCAAGCAGAGCAGGCCGTACCGGCTGGTGACAGGCAGCGACGACAACTGCGCCGCGTTCTTTGAGGGGCCACCGTTCAAGTTCAAGTTTACAATTGGCGTGAGTGGACTCTGCAGGGCGGTTATGGTGGACTTTGTGGTCTGCATTTGAAGCCCGTGGAGTCTAAACCTGTTTGATGCCGATGGTCACGGGCACACCGTCAGCGTGTAGGCGGGAGTAGGGTTTGTGACGCAGCGTCACTCAGAGGTAGGACAGCACACCAGTCCCTGTCCTCCATCCTGCATTTGGGACACGGGGATGGTTCCGGACTCCGTTCTGGGGTGCTGCGTGCATTCTGGGGTGGGGCAGGGAGCACCTGTGAGCCATGGGGCCAGGTGGGCATCCTGGCTGTGGCGCCGTGCCGGCGGGAGCTTAGGCTTGGCATTGGCCTGCTGTCTGGCTGTGCTGAAACCCGCTGAGCCACCGAAGTGGAGAGGAGGTGAGCTTCCGGGGACATTTGGCTTTGTCCCTGGTGCCTGCCTTTGGAAGGTGGTGGGGTGGGGACACCTACAGTGTCACGATGAGGAGGAGGCGCCTTGCCTGCAGATGGGCGCTCTGAATGCCCTAGTGACGTGTCAGGCTTCGGGTGTAAAGGCTTTGGTCTCGGGCTCAGCTACCCACGTGCCCGACGACGGCCTGGCGTGCCCGCCTCGCTTTCCCATCTGCAGGGTGGACAGGAGGATGTTGGCATCGGCGTTGTGACCGTGAATTTGGGCTGTGCACCGCCTCCCACAGGTCCTGAGCAGGCCGTGTCCTGCCTTATCAGGGCTGAAATGAGACAGTGTCCTTAAGGAGGCTCCCAGGGACTCCCGCTGACTGACGAGAACACAGTGGCTCATGAACGTTGTGATGGGCGTCACTGGAAAAGGGTCACTGCCTCAGGGTCCCCAGCAGGCAGGCGTGCAGGTGGTGGACAGAATTTTCAGGCACAGATCTTGGGGTTCCCTGTTGGCAGTGAGATAGATGGCCTTTGTTTGTCAGGGGCACTGAGCAGGGCCTGGCTGGTGCCTGGGTGGTGTTGCCGTGTGGGGAGTGCACCCTCTTCCCTGTGCCCCGCCCTTCTCTGCGCTGTCTCCTGTGACCACTGCCTAAGGGGGAGGGGCTTTGCTGAAGGCTGGCTCAGGTCAGTGTGGTCAGTGTCTCCTAGGTGGGCACAGGACCGGGACCTGGAATGTAGGGTGAGTCATGCTGAGTCAGGGTGAGTCATGCTGAGTCAAACAGCAGCCTCCTGCTCTGCCCTGGCTGGCCCACAGTGGCAGCTGTGCCCTCTCCCCAAGGCCCCCCGCAGTTCCTTCTGGTTCCTGGGCTGGGGGTGGGCGGGGCTCCTTCCCCTGCTGGGAGGGCTCTGTTCCTCTTTACAGGAGACTGAACCTGCCACACCAGCTCCGTGGAGGTGGGTGGAGCCAGGATTTGAGCCCAGAGTCAGCGCCAGCCTGTACCTTCCCCTCCCTGCCAGCCTTCTCCACATACTCACTCGGCGGGAATAGTCCCTCTTTCTGTTGTCCTTTCCCAGCCTGAGAATAGGCTCCATTCACCCTGAGACCCCAGCCCTGGAGCGTTGGGGAGAAAGGTTTGCCCAGCTGTCACCTGTCTCCAAGGTTGGCTCAGAACTTACCCTAATCCTCCTGCGGAGCCGGCAAGCGTGGGCCTGGGTAGGGACCTCGGGGAGATCAGAAGGGACGGAACACGAGTGGGGGCCACTGGGTGCTGGCCCAGCGCTGCAGCCAGCTGGCCCTGCGACCTTCAGCTGGCCGTGTGTACCCACCCCAGCCCCCACCCCAGAGAGCTGGGTGATGATAGCCCTCCTCTGCTGGCCCACAGGTGTGTGGGGAGGACGTGCGGTGCTGGTGAACGGCTGAGGGTCCATGTGGTGCCCTTCGGGCTTCTGTTGCCACAGGTTCTAATAGGCTCCGTGGGCCTAGTGTAGAAGGGACGGTGGTCACTCAGGTCCCCCGTACCCTCCTTAAATGTCTTGGTGAAGTGTTGACTTTTGGGAGGAACCTGTGACTTCTCTGTGCCTATCTGCCTTCGGCCCTCACAGCCCTGGAGTAAGGCCGTGACGTGGAGGGTGGGCAGTGGGCTGTCTGCCCGTCCAGGTCCAGCTCCTGACACCTGCCTCTTGACACGTTTACGGCCACGGGATGGTTGAGTCCAAGTTGCTGCCTTGAAAAGGAGTGAGTTGTGTTCTGAATCCAGTCCATGCCAAAACAGTACTGATGCCGTGTGGACCAGGGGGAAGTGAAAACAGTTTTCAGACCAACCAGAGTGACCAGTCTTAGCGTGGGGTTGCGTGCTCTTCCTCCCTGCGTCTGTCCAGAGATCATGGGTTTGTTTGCTTGCACCAGCTGCTCCTGCCGTGCAGGGTGAGAGTGTCCACTCCTGGATCCTCCAGAGCTGCATCAGACAACCCAGAGTGACCAGTCTTAGCGTGGGGTTGCGTGCTCTTCCTCCCTGCGTCTGTCCAGAGATCATGGGTTTGTTTGCTTGCACCAGCTGCTCCTGCCGTGCAGGGCGAGAGTGTCCGCTCCTGGATCCTCCAGAGCTGATCACGGCCCCACTTAGCCAGGCTGCTGGCTCCCGCTCAGGCCCTCCACCCAGCCGTAGTCCTCACTGCCTACATGCGAAACGGGCTTTAAGAGACTACAGGAGCAGGGATGGAGCACACTCCCCTGGAGTAGGCCCCAGCACCAGCTCCTTCCCCACCCACCCACATTTCAGGTGCAGTGGCACCCGGGGAGGTGACTTCCCAGGACCACAGAAGACACGTGGACGGAGTTTTTTGGCAGTCTGTGGGCAAAGGTTCCCCTTTGAGGACCAAACAGTGGTTTGAAAAGAAAGGGACGGGGGGCCTTGCCTGCTCCGGCCTCCACCGCGGAGATTTCTCCCACCCACTGCCAAGGGCATCCCTGTGGTAGACGCACAGGCCTTGCTCAGTATCCCTATGTGTCCGGCGTGGCCTTGGCCACGTTTACGCACCTCCCTGGCCCCCTGCTTCCTCCTGTCAGGTGTGCAAGGGGGCTTCCTGGATGACCGAGGACGCCCCTTCAGCCACCTCAGAGAGGTGTGTCCACGTCTCAGGCCCTGGGTGTTGCAGTCAGTGGGATAGTTTGTCGAATGAAATGAATACTTAGAACACCCAGTGCTGGGTCTCATCTGCCCTGGGCCTGCTTATCCAGATGGACACTGTGATCTGGGTCTGGGAACTTCCTGCCACATCTACCTAAGAGTCTGAGAGCAGGCGGAGGGGACACCTGGTCTCTGCGCCAGGTGCACGGCGTGGCAGTCAGCTGTTCCAGGACGGACTGGTACCTGCCACCTGTGCGTGGTCTCAGCTGCTCCAGGACAGACTGGCACCTGCCACCTGTGCGTGGTCTCAGCATCGCAGCCAGCTCTAAATGGGGTGGCCCACTTCCTTCTAGACAGTTGGAGGTGAGTTAAGCTAGAAACCTCAGTCTCGGCTATTATTAGAAGTCTTGCTTTCTTTGACAATTAAGTCAAGTTTGAGTTCTAATAGGCAGGGTTTTCTGATGATTTTTCCTTTTTCCTGTTTCTTACGGTGGCTGAAAAAGTGGAAGTTTCAGTGTGTCGCGTTTGTCACGTGCTCGCTCTGTACCTGGCCGCCCCTGGCGTCGGCTGTCCGTTTCAGAGGGCTGGGAGCTCGGCAGGGCGCATCTCCTCCTCCCCCGGCTCCTTCCCGCGCGCTCCTGAGCAAACCTCGGCTGACCACGGACCCTGAGAGGCCCAAGGAGGACTCAGTCAAGCCGTTTGTCTCTTTGGTCAGGATTGGCAGGGGGAGGGCGGTCTCCTTTGTTCTCAGCCCAGGCGCTGCCTCTCGGGTGCCGTACAGGGGAGACCTCGCAGAGTGAGGGGTGCCAGGTTGGGAGGGACAGCGGCTGACGGAGGGCAAGGCCCCGTTCCCGGTCAGGGAGGAGACGCATTTCAGAGCCCCATCGAGGCATGAGTCCTGCTCCTGAGGGAGGAGGTGACGGTGGGCACAGGCTCTGAGCCTGTTTTTCTCCAGGAGCCCCGGACAAGGGCACCAGGCAGGTGCGCACGGGGTGTTTCACCCAGAGGGGACCCCTGAGCTGACTGGCTCTCCAACTGGTTGCACTGGAGTCAGGCCGTGGAGCCCGGGCTCCGTCCCTGTCGGTGGCGTGGACGGAGGTGCAGTACTTAATTATGACCGAACTGCTTTACGCCTCAGTTTGCTGGTGGTGAGGGGCGGGAGGTGCTGGAGGGAAGGGGAGCTTCCGTGAATGCTGGTGTGACTGACGGCTGGCAGCAGGGAGACCAGCCACCAGGATCTTCCACACGGGACAGCCTGAGTGAGAGCAGAGGCTGGACCCACGGGCTGGCTGCGCAGGGTCAGGACCGGGAGCCCCGGCCCAGGAGGCGGCAGCGGGTTGGACAGCCTTGAAAGGCACGCGAGTCTTAGCCCTCTCCAGCTGCCCCGCCCTGCCCAGACTGGTCCTTCCCTGTACCCGGCCTCCCCCCACCGTGGAAAGGGCTATTTTTAGCCCTCTTTTGGTTAATGGGCTGATCACCGACCCCTCCCTTTAAATGGGCTATTTCAGGAGCAGACATCAGTCTTCTGCTCTTTTGGACACTTGGCTCAAATTGCAGGAAAAGCTGACGAGTTTCTAAAGTCACCCTGTGCCCTGGTATTTGGAGTGGGGGTGGCATGTGTCTGCTTGTCTGGCCTCCAATAAACCCAGGCCACCGGCCCTCCCGGGAGCCTGCATTGCTCCCAGGCCCGAACGGGCATGGTGGGGAGACAGACCACAGACACGGCAGCACGTGCTGTGGGCTGTGTCCCACAAACGGGGGCAGCTGGGAGCTGTGACTGAGCAGGTGGGGTGGGCGCTCCCGGGTCTTCGGTGGAGAGGTGGTGGCACCTAACGGGACCACTAGGAGGGGTGGGTGGGGCCTTGGCATCGGCGCTGCCTTCCAGGCGGGCGTCCTGCCTTCAGTGAGCCGGGCCACACGAGGGCTCCTCCTCCTGGGAACCAGTGCGCAGCTGCGGCCCATGAGGAGTCACAGGTGCCTCAGTGTCTCTGGTCCACAGCCCAGAGCAGATGGTCGGCGCCCACCTTGGGTCCCGCTCGCCCCCCGGCCTGCTCTGCTGTGGTGAGCTCTGTTGGCACCCAGTTCTTAGAGGGACCCTGCTCCCCCTTCCCCGTCTGCCAAGCCTCTTGGTCAGTCACAGGGCCCAGAGCCCCTTGACCTAGCTGCCTTCCCTTGTCCACTTTACAGGAAGGAAGCCTGGAGCCGCAGGGATGGGGGGGACACAGAGGTCGGGGACGAGAGGACTAGACGCCTGCTTAGGTGTCCAGGGTTCGAGCCTCGGTTTGTCATGTGAGAGCTATCCTTGCGCCTCATCCCAGAGAGGAGCTGTGGCTGCCCCATGTCGGGGTGCTGTCCCGGCCCTCCTGCCGCTGGCTTTTAACACCCTGTCCCTGAGGGAGGACAGTGTGTGCAGCTGGCTCCCTTGCAGCCTTGAGTGGACTGCACAAAGGTGGCAGGTGGCCTGAGTAGTTAAGGATCTGACCTCACTGGCTCCCCGCCAGCGCCTGCCTGCCAGCCTCCTCCTGGGCCCGCAGCCGGCGCATTGGAGAGCTCTGGACAGGAAACGGGACACCAGCTCCTTCCAGCCGGCCTTTCAGGGCCAGTGTCTCCTGTAACAGGTGCCTGCTGGCCCCGCGGCCCTTCTCGGTGCTAGGATGGCGGGCAGGTGCAGTGGGGGCGGGCACTCGGGGCCTGCGAGCCCAGGTTCAGTTGGGTGGGCTGTACCTGCTGGGAAACCCGGTCCTCCAGCGCCGCACGTCTAGACCCGAAGGAAGCGGCACACGTGCCTTAGGGCAGCGGTCAGCCTTACAGGCAGGAGTGGACACAAGAAACCAGAAAGGCAGACCCACGGCCGAGCTGGAACGCAGGAGAGGGGCCCCAGTGTCACCCTGGCGCCCGGATGGCACCAGTCGAACCTCAGCACTGGGAGGCGGGCGGGTGGGAGGCAAAGGGCTGGCCTCCGTCACGGGTGCCAGTGAGGGTCCCGCAGAGAGCAAGCTGAGTCCCAGCAAAGCTCCCGCCCATGGTGGGCAGCCCATGCTTACTGGGGTCCGTGTTCTGACCGGCCCCGTGACTTTGCAGGAACACGGTTCCTCTGGTCCTGTTGCCCGCAGGGACCCGCGTGCCGGACCCTCTGCCCTGGTCTAGGTCCCTCCGTCAGTGCAGCAGGCATGGCGTCCTGAGGGTGTCTGAGCCTTAGTGTGTGTTCCGGCACATCCCTGCCCACGGCTGCCACTGGGGCGGCTGACAACGGGACTGACTCTCGGGTCTGAGCCAGAGCCAGCGCTATCCTCGGAGGGCCGTGGGGGCCTGGCGGGCGTGGAGTCGGTCTGCTCTGAGGGCTGGTGTCGCCCATGGAAGCACCTAACCCCACCTTAGGGGAGCTCATGCCACCCGCGGTGGGGGGGGGGGTGCTCCAGTGCCTGGGTCCAGTGGGAGGGGCCAGGCCTTGTGTTCAGGGCTTTGGGTTTGGGGCTTTTAGAGGATCATTCTGTGCTACAAACCCTTCTTGGCTGAGTGGAGAATGAGCTCGTTGACTTGCTCGGGTAAGGGGATCAGCCTCGAGGTCATTGCTCCTCGTCACTGAGAGTCTTAGTCCTTGTGACGATCCTAACGATTGTTTGACTGAAACACCAGCCGATCGCCAGCTGTGCGCTGGGCTGGGGCCTCCCTGTAGCACAGGTGGGAAGCTTGAGAGCTGCGGGGGGAGGGCAGAGCCTCAGCACGGGGAGGCGGGCGGGTGGGGCCATCGGGCCGTCCAGGCAGAGGGACGGGCCTGGGCCAAGGCTCGGATGGGGGACCAGCCCTCAGCTGAGTCAGCAGCTGAATGGGTCTTGTTTAAGCTCCAAAGTCTTGTAAACTCACATTGGTAGCAGTAGCTGTTTGAGGCAGGCTGTCTGTTTCATAGAGAACGTTCTCGAACCTCCTGTCTTCGGGTAGATGACTGTCTGCTTTCCCACAGGACCACAGCCGCTTCGTCAACTGCGTGCGATTCTCTCCCGATGGGAACAGGTTTGCTACCGCCAGTGCAGACGGCCAGGTGAGGGCTGGGGCTGGGCTGGGGCGGGGGGGGGGTGCTCATCTGATTGTTCTGACTGTTGAGAACAGACAGACTCACTGAAGTCAGTCTTGGCTCCCTCCTTCCCACCTCCTGGAACGAGGCTCGGTCACGGGGCTGAACCAGAGCTCAGAGACACGGCTCTCCGTCTCTTAAGCGGAGCAAAGCTCCGAACCGGTCAGCGTGTTGTAGAGGCGTCCCGTGCGCCTCGGTCGGGAGCGCTGGACAGCGGCGCACAGGGAAGGGTCAGCGGGCTCGCTGCTGGGAGCCACGCAGGCGCCCACACGGCCTCCCTCTGCTGGCAGATTCACATCTACGACGGGAAGACGGGGGAGAAGGTGTGCGCTCTGGGGGGCGGCAAGGCCCACGATGGTGGCATCTACGCTGTGAGTACGGCTTCCCGTTCTGTGCTCCGTCTGTGGTCCTGGCCGGCCACGTCGTGTTTGTACTCATCCAGCAGGTTTGCATTTGGAAGCTTCAGAGTCGGGGTGGTGGGATAGAGCTTCAGTGTCACGTCCAGCGGGTGACATGGCCTGGACCCTGGTCCCATCCCTGCCCTGGCGTGCCCCCCGCTCTGCTTCTCCCTGCTCAGGCGTGGGGGTGTGGCCAGGCTGCTCTCTGAGGCCACTAACCACGGAAATTCTGACACGTGGCCCACTGTTTTTGTTTGAGTAGATTAGCTGGAGTCCTGATAGCACCCATTTGCTTTCTGCTTCCGGAGACAAAACCTCTAAAATTTGGGACGTCAATGTGAACTCGGTCGTCAACACGTTTACCATGGGCTCCAGCGTTCTGGACCAGCAGCTGGGCTGCTTGTGGCAGAAGGACCACCTCCTCAGCATCTCCCTGTCTGGGTACATCAACTACCTGGACAAGAACAACCCCAGCAAGCCCCTGCGGGTCATCAAGGTGAGGCTGCAGCGGGGTGGCCCAGCCTGTGCAGGGCAGCCGGGGGAAGGTGCACCCCGGCCGGAGAAGGGAGAGACCAAGGGAGGCCAGCGGGCGGGCCCAGGGCCCAGGGCCTTGGTAGGCAGGATACTGTTTGCTTCCAGGGCCCTTGCCCCTCCTCCTGTCCTGAGGTGTTCAGCCTTCCTCAGTTAGAGGCTCACGGGCTCTGACACCTGGAGTCCCAGAACACGATAGGTACCACGAGGTGGCCTTCTAGGTGGGCCTGGGCATTGTGCGGGATTTGAACATGGGAATGTGTGTGGGGAGCCCCTGGGTATGAGGGGCTTGGGGGGCGTGGGAGGAAATGAACTCAGAAGTGATGGAGCCGAGGTATGGAGGCCTCGAGTCCCCGGCCAGGAGTCTGGGCAGCAGGGAGCCATCTGAGGGGTGGGAGGACCCTGCTTCGGGCTCCTGCCTGTCACCCAGGCGCAGTTACTCAGGCCACCCGATCACCAGGTGCTTTCTCTCACTGTTGGCCCTGGTGGTGATGTCGTCTCAGGAAACCTGCTGCCAGACTAGGAGCTCCTGGGTGGCCCTGGTGCCACCTGCTGCAGACCCCTCTCCAGGGCACGCGAGGCTTCGTCTGAAGCAGAGCTCAGGGTTGGGCGCAGCCAGTGCAGAGCAGTTGGCAAGTCGCAGGGGCAGGCTGGCATGTCCTCAGCTCACCCTGCCACCTGTCTCCTCAGGGTCACAGCAAATCAATCCAGTGCCTGACGGTGCATAAAAACGGCGGCAAGTCCTACATCTACTCCGGAAGCCATGACGGACACATCAATATCCTTTGGCTCCCAGAGCTGGCTTCCGGGCGGCCGCTGGCCGGCGAGCTGGGAGCTTCTTCTCTGACAGTGCCAGGGGCCAGCCAGCGACAGCAGCCACCAGCACAGCCGTGGCCTTTGCCCCTGTACACATGTTGCTGGCCAGGTCCCTCTCACGAGCAGAGTTGTGGGGTCTCAGGTTCAAAAGGACTTGGAACCCCTTAGTAGACCCCTCTGGTTCTCAGCTGGGAAACAGGCTCAGACGGCTGAGCGCCCTGCCCAAGGTCACAGCACTGTCGGCAGCGGGGCTGGGACCCCGAACTTGGATCTTACCCTGATTGGGTTCTTTGCTGTCTCTGAGGTGGTCGCCAGAGCATGTGTGGAGCCCTTGCCACCCCCCCCCCCCACACACACACCTCATGTTTGTGGCCTGGGGCTGGTAACCCCCCACAGGACCATCTTGAACATGGGAGCAGGTGTGTGTAGGGTGCAGTGGTGGGCACCCACATCCGGCCTGGCTCCCTGTGCTGCTGTGTCCTCTGGGAGGGGCTGTCCAGGTCTCCCCGTTTCTCCCCTGCCTTGTCCCTGCAGACCTTCCCCATTTTCATGATTCACGGAGTCTCTCCACAATCCCGAGAGACGGGCAGATTAGTCACCCTCTGCCCACTGAATGCAGGGAGATGCAGGGTAAAGGGGGGTGTGTCTGGGGGGGAGAGGTGCTCAAGTCGGCCTCCTGGGGGGTGTGCACGTCTGTGCGGCCACACCGCCTGCGCTGCCTGGCACCCCGTTCCTCTGCTCGTCCTTCCCGCAGTGTTGGGGCGCCGCATGGTGACCTCACGATTTATATGTTCTCTTGACTCGATGGCGGGTCCCCATCAAGGACCGTCAGCAGCGAGTGCACCCCGCTTTCCGCAGGGAAGTGCCCTTCCTGGGAAGTGAGGTTCTCTCATTGATACAAAGAATCTCAGCGTAAAACACACCTCACGCCCAGGCGTCTGGAGCCACAGTTCACACCGTGCCCCACCGGCAGTGAGCGGGCTTCACCTGCTGGCCGCTGCGTCCAGGCGTCTGGATCCAGGCGTCTGGAGCCACAGTTCACACCGTGCCCCTTCGGCAGTGAGCGGGCTTCACCTGCTGGCCGCTGCGTCCAGGTCACGTGACATCCTGGAGCCACAGTTCACACCGTGCCCCACCGGCAGTGAGCGGGCTTCACCTGCTGGCCGCTGCGTCCAGGCGTCTGGATCCAGGCGTCTGGAGCCACAGTTCACACCGTGCCCCTTCGGCAGTGAGCGGGCTTCACCTGCTGGCCGCTGCGTCCAGGCGTCTGGATCCAGGCGTCTGGAGCCACAGTTCACACCGTGCCCCTTCGGCAGTGAGCGGGCTTCACCTGCTGGCCGCTGCGTCCAGGTCACGTGACATCCTGGAGCCACAGTTCACACCGTGCCCCGGTGAGCGGGCTTCGCCTGCTGGCCGCTGCGTCCAGGTCACGTGACATCCTGGCGCTGTCTCGGGCCGCTCGCCCCCAGGCCACTGGAGTCGGGTTGTGACCTGTCTACACGACTGACTGGGTCAGCCCAGTTCCGGGGCCCGTCTGCTCGGCTGGCCTGCGTGCACTGTCCAGGCGGCCTCTGGGCTCCGAGGCGGGCTCCTAGGTTGTGAGGGGCCCGCTGACATGCAGGCCCGGCCTGTCTTGCTGGTTCACCACAGCGGCCCTGAAATCCAGGCTCGGCCATGCGCCGGGAGCTCGCCTCCGGCCCAGTGTGTGCCATCCTGTCCCTCACGTGCTGCCCTAGCCGAGGGTTGGCTGTGGGCCCCCTAGGAGACCGCACGCCCATCCTGGAGGTCTGGCTTTTCCTTAACCGCGCCCCACATTACTGGGATTCTGAGACGGGGGAGAACGACTCCTTCACTGGCAAGGGCCACACGAACCAGGTGTCCAGGATGACCGTGGACGAGGCCGGGCAGCTGGTGAGCTGCAGCATGGACGACACGGTGCGGTACACCAACCTCATGCTGCGGGACTACAGGTGAGCTGCCGGGGCTCCGGGACCACCACGGCCCCCCGACGGCCCTGTGCCTGACACGGTCACCGCGCGACAGCATTTTCTCTGCTCCTTGCTGCTCTCCTATTGCCCGGCCCTCAGCCGGGAGCAGGGTTCGAGTCCAGGGAGCACCAGACACGACCGGGGAAGCCAGACTCGACAGGTCTCCTTGCTCTGCTCCTTATCAGCAGGGTGACTGTGCCGGGGCTGTGAGACGCCTGGCGCGTGGCAGGGCCCCGGGGACAGACGGCGCCCGAGAGACGGCAGTGTCGCTTTCGGTGCTGACGGTCCCCGAGCGGGGGCGTTGCTCTCACCGTCTCTGCAGCTTCAGTGCCAGGCACTGGCCTGTCCCTGTTCGGGGTTCGCCTCCACCGCCAGCACCCGCCCCCCCGGCCCTGCCCGGCCTCCCTGTTCAGTTGTGTAGACACCGCCATCCGACGGATGGCAGGCTCCTGGGCGTCGTCCTGGCGACCCTCACGGGCCCAGCCCCTGGTCTGGGCGAACACGCTGTGGGCCTCCCTTGCCTCACGTGTCTGGTCAGTGAAGCCCCAGGAAAGGGGCAGAAGCCGCTCCCGCCCCCGGGCATCTTGCTGCTGCCCCTCAGTGACCTCTCAGCATTCCTTCCACGGGGCTGCGCTGCCCCCGAGCCACGGCCTGGTCACCTTGTCACCGGCCCATTCCCTGAGCCTTTGGGACCCCACACTTGGCCGTTACACGGGATTTTCCATTGATTTTCAAGAAGTCTTTTTGTACAAGTTCTTCCACGTACGTCTTCAGTGTCGGCTGGAAGTGAGGGAGCACAGCTGTCCCTCGTTGGAAGGAAAGGGTGGTGTGTGGGGTGCCCTGTTGAGAAGGCTGGTGTTGGGGGGGGGGGTCAGCTCTGTCCGCACCCAGGGAGCACCAGGTCCTTGGCGGGCAGGTGTGGAGACACGGCAGGGACAAGGAGCAGGTGGGGTGGCGGGTGCTCACCCTGTTAGATAGCTGCTCCCTCTGCTCCCTCGGCCCCTCCCCGGCCCACCCCGCGGGGTCTCTAACTCTCCCAGAGGCTGCGGCCCACAGTCAGCTCACCGCTCCTTCCGTGGAGGTCGCGGGGGAGCGTCTGGCCGCTGGAGCCGCCGTGGGTTTGCAGCCAGGGCCTCGTGCCCACCCAGCCCCGTGGGAATAACACTCTCCTTCTCTCTGACAGCGGACAGGGCGTCGTGAAGCTGGACGTTCAGCCCAAGTGTGTCGCTGTCGGCCCCGGAGGGTACGCGGTGGTCGTGTGCGTGGAGCAGGTAGGGGCCGCGGTGTGGGCAGGCAGCCATGGCCGCGCGGGCTCGGTCTCTGAGTGCCGTTCTGCCCGGTACATGCTTGTCCTTGAGCGCTGTCTGCACGGTGCTGCCGTCACGTCACCCAGCGTCCTGTCAGCCACCCACGGGCTCAGCCCCTTCTTCCAGACGAGGAAACAGGCAGAGGGCAAGTTGCCACCCAATGTGGGCAGCTGGCAAAGGGCGGAGCTGGGGTTGGGACCCAGGTCGCAGGTCCCCAGTCAGGGCCTGCACGAGGCACAGCAGGACGATTGTCCCCACTCACCCTCTCGTCCCGCTGTGTGCCTCGGGGACTTGCCTCCCTCTCTGAGCCGCCTCATCGCTGACAGCGCACAGCGGGAGCGTGAGGAGCTACACGGCTGGCGCCTTGCGTCTTCGTGGGCCCTTTTCAAAGAGGAGGCGAAAGCCTAGAGTGATCTGGTGACTTCCCCAAGGCCACCTGATGGCAGGGGCACCAGGCCAGGGTGTTCGGGTTCCCTTCCACAGCTTGGTTCTCATTCCATATGGCTGAGGTCCTCACATACCTTGTCTTTTGGGGTTTCTGGAATGAAGTGCCCTAGAGTGAGACCCAAGCCTGACCCCTTTGTAGAGGATTCTGCTCTGTAGCAGGCGCCATCTGCCAGTGCACCTGGGCGCCTGCGTGTGGGTCAGGCAGGCGTGACCGAGCCCCTGCTGTCGGAGCGGCAAGCCCTGCGGGAGAAAGCTGCCGTTCAGCTCGGGCAGAATGGAGTCTGTGTCCGAGATAGCACGACTTCCTGTCGGGCAATTACTGCCACGGCCTGGGTGGTCGGCGGGGCACAGGAGTGAATGCTTGGAGCACCTGCGCCGAGTGGGGAGGGACGGAAGGGGACCTTCCAGGACAGCGCGCAGATGCGTCCCTGTGAGTGGGCGTTTCCCAGCTCCTGAGCACCTGGCCTGTGCAGGTGAGGGAGTGAGCTGCGGGGCTTCGGGCACGTGGCAGGTGCTGTCAGGACTGTTTTCTCCTCTGCCCGTTGGGTGATGATTGGCCATCTCTAGGGGTGTAGCACACGTAACAACCTTAGTCCGGTGTGTGGCTTGTGCTAGTGGACGTAGCTGCTGGTTTTATTTGCTTTTATTAGGAGTTTACCCTGAGCCCTGGATTCTGTCTTCATGGGGTCTGGGCCCCGCTGGGCTCTTACACCCTGGGAGGCTGAGACCCAGGCTGTCCCCACAGGCAGCGGTGGCTAAGCTGGGATTAAGCCCCGATATGTCTGTCCCCAGAGACTTCAGTAGGGCCCAGACACCCGGGAACTCAGCCCGTCTGACTCTGCCCTGTCCCCCGAGTGGGGAACGCAGGCTGTGGTGGTGTGCGGGGAGGTGTGCGGGGCCTCCGGGCCGCCCTCTGCAGCCGTCTGCCCATGCTCCCCTTCTGGGCTGTCCCGCGTCAGGAGCAGAGAGCCTGCGGGCGTCAGCCTCTGAGCCTGTTTCCTCTGTAAGATGGGGTGCTGGCACTGCACCCCAGGCTGCGGAGACACACGTGACCACATTGGAGGTTTCACAGGTGGCAGGTCAAACTTTGAAAGGGTGTTTCTTCGGACCCAAAAGACCAGCACTTAGATGCTCGCGTGTCAAGCTCACTGCCCGGCTGGTTCGGAGCTCGGTGACTCCGATGCGTCTGTCCTCGTGAGCGTCGGGAACTGGCTCGGCAGCGCCACGTGTGTCCTCCCGTCAGTCAGCGCCCGGAAGGCGGAGCTCCTGGCCTGATGGTGGCAGTAGGGGTGGTGGCGTGACAGTCACGGCCAGTGTTCACTGTGATCCCGTGACTAGGACCTGTCACTGTCCCACGGATCCATGAGGGAGGGGGCATAATTCAGGGTCGAGGGGCTGAGGCTGGGCCTGCCCCCGAGGTCAGGAAGGAGCCCAGCCCGGACTGAGCGCTGGGCCCCTGCTCCTGCGGTCTGACCGCTGCCTGTTTGCAGATCGTCCTGCTGAAGGACCAGAAGAAGTGCTTCAGCATCGACAGCCCCGGCTACGAGCCCGAAGTGGTGGCGGTGCATCCCAGTGGGGACATGGTGGCTGTGGGGGCCACGGTAAGGCCCTCTTCCCTGGGGTGTCTGGGCTGTGTGAGTGTGGGACTGGGCCCCTGGGAATGAGCACCCAAGTGACAGCCTCCGTGGTCACCCTCAGTCCCCGAGGGCTGCCCAGCGCTCAGCAACGCTCGCCCTGGTTCTGTGCACACGGCACACCACCGAGGAAGGGACGCTGTGACCTGGCCGGGAGACCTTGAGCTGTCGAACACGGGCAGCTGAGCTGCCTCGGGCGCAGCTGGTGCCTGGTCTGCCGGCGGTTGCAGGCACACCACCTGCCCCGCTTACTGCCCTTCCCTTCTTGCTCCGGGCCGTGTGCTGCCCTTACCACCCTCACCAGTGCAGTATCAGGCCCTGGGGGCGTGAAGTTGAGAGCTCCCATCCTGAAGAGGGGTGCCTGAGGTGTGTCCACCTGGTAGACTCTACGTGCGGGTGGAACTGGCAGCAGACGGCCAGGCTCCTCCTGGAGTCTCTGGCTGCCCGGAGCTGGGCACGGGTTGGCCATGGGCACCCCTGACCCAGGGACCCCTGGGGCTTGAGGACAGCCGTGACCTGAGGGGCAGGCACCAACCCTTTGCAAGAGCAGCTGCGCCTTCCTCGAGGTGGCCTGGGCTACCCCAAGGATGGGGGTGCGCTGGACAGAGGGAGCCAGGTGTCTGAGGGACCTCTGCGTGCTGGGGTGTGGGGTGCAGAGCACCCGAGAGCTGATGCGTGCAGGTGTTCCCCAAGGCCTGGCCTGAGGCCTGCTCTAGGATTTCTGGGGTATCTGTAAAATGGGCAGATTCCTGAGCACCCAGACATGAGAATCAGAATTAGAGGTGTGGTGTCAAGGATCCCTCCTCACTTGACCACCTCCCCAAGCCGTGTATGTGTGTTGGGGGAGTGGCTCACCGCCCCTGTGACGTCACCCGCAGGATGGGAAAGTCCGCCTGTACTCCATCCTGGGCACCACGCTGAAGGACGAGGGCAAGCTCCTGGAGGCCAAGGGGCCCGTGACGGACGTGGCATACTCCCACGATGGCGCCTTCCTCGCCGTGTGCGACGCCAGCAAGGTGGTCACGGTCTTCAGCGTAGCTGATGGCTACTCGGTGAGTGGCAGTCTGTCCCGTCTGTCCCCGGCAGGTGGCGGGTGGGGGCCGTGGTCAGCAGCCAGGTGCACATACAAGAGCAGACAGCTCTGCTCAGAGCGTGGATGACATGGGACAGCCTGCCGCCCAGGAGCCTCTGGTCACAGTTCCCAGGAAGTTCAGGACCTGGGCCGCAGCAGGGCTGGCCGTGAGGACAGCAGGTCGGGTCCTTTGACCTATTTCTCTCTGTCAAGGGCTTGGGCTCCATGTTTTTCTTATCTTGTTGTTTCAAGTCTGTAAAGAGCACTGATCCTCCCAGCACTGCCGTGTGCTCGGGGCTGAGCGTGCACGGGGGGAGGGGCCGTCGCCAAGGCACCGGGAGCTCATCCTGCTCCGAGCAGAACGGGGGAGGGAGGGACGGCCGGGAGCTTCACACGGAGGATTGGTGAGAAGAGGGGTTCCCTGGCCTGAACCCTGATCTACTGCCTTTATTTTTACCCCACAACTAGGAAAACAACGTTTTCTATGGGCACCATGCCAAGATCGTCTGCCTGGCCTGGTCACCAGACAACGAGCACTTTGCTTCTGGCGGCATGGACATGATGGTGTACATCTGGACTCTGAGTGACCCCGAGACCAGGGTCAAGATCCAAGGTGACTCATACTTGCCTCGGCTTTCGGGGAGCTGGCCCCAGGGCCCCAGTGTTCCTTCTGTCCTTCCGGGGAGGCCACCTGGTGGAGGCGTGTGTCTCATTCTCCATCGAACCCCAGGCTCTGCTGGCCCATGCTGGGCACTCAAGGGCCCGAGAGCTCCTGGTGTGACAGCAGGTGGTCACCATACACAGGACACGTGCTGAGTCAAGGGGCCACTTGGCATCTCTGTTTTAATCAGTTCAGACTGCTGTAACACCCCCACACACTGGGTGGCTCAAACGTCCCAGAAATTAGTTGCTCCCAGTTGCAGAGACTTGTTGCTCAAGGTCAGGGTGGCAGGTGGTCGGGTGAGGGCCTCTCCCATGTTGTAGACCCCAGTGTGTCCCCGGGGCGGCAGGACGCTCTGGGGGTCTTTCATAGGAGCACTACTGTCTATGATCTGAAGTTCTCAGACCTGTCACCTTGAACTCAGTTAGGTTTTCTTTCAACTTAGGACCTTTGGGGGGGTGGTGCGCAGACATTCAGACCATTGCCCAGGAGAGGCATTATGGGAGCCACACGTGGACTTTAATTTTTATAGCAGCCACATTTAAGAAAGAAATAGGTGAAGTTATTTTTAATAGTCAGTTTCATTTAACCCAGCATGTTATTTCCACGCATGGCAGGAGCTCACGGCTCAGGCTCTGTTGTCCCCCATGGCGGGTGGGACTGTCCTGTGCGAGGCAGGGCCACCGAGGGAAGGTTCGCTTTCCCCTCCATCATCCCAGCCCTGGTCCTTCTGTGATGAGGGGCGGGGTTCCTCAGCAGCCTCTGTATTCGGGGTGCGGGGCCCACACAGGCGCCGCCTCAGCTGGGGCGCATGGAGCAGAGAAGCGGGGTTCCCCTTGAGCGTGTTCTGTCTTCGCAGATGCGCACAGGCTCCACCACGTCAGCAGCCTGGCCTGGCTGGACGAGCACACGCTGGTCACCACCTCCCACGATGCCTCTGTCAAAGAGTGGACAATCAGCTACTGAGGGCCCGCCTCTGCCGGACCGAACCAGGGACTAGAGTTGGACCGCAGCAGAACACGGCATTTCTGTCAATATTTCTGTAACACCCCGCCCACCCGCTCGGGAGGGAGGGGCCCTCTCTCCTGACGACCCTCGTCTCTCTGCAGGGTGTTTGTATCTATACACGTCCTTCTGAAAGCTTTAGACGGTGACAGTTTGCACATGAGAAATAAAGTGAGCACTTAAACCGCGTGTGGAGCCTGACTCGCCACCCCCCGCGCAGCCGCGCCAGCATTCCAGAGGCAGAGCCTCCAAAGCACAGACTCGCTTCGTGGCGCCTGCCGTGGGTCCGGGGAGGCTGTGTCCACGGACCACGCCCCCTGCAGACAGGCTGCTCGGGAGGAGGGCGCACCTGCGTCCCGGAGGCCGGCGGCAGTGGCCCGTGGGCGCGTGGCCCTGCGTGGAAGTCACGCGTGCAGTCGCCACCGGGAGGCCTGGAAGCAGACAGGCACCCACGGGGCCGTGTATCTCACTGTCGGTTTTTGTGCTTGATTTTGAGAATGGAGCCGTGAGGGTTTATTGTGTGGGTTTTTTTGTTTTTTTTTCTAAGTGTCTTAACTGTTGCCTGTCATTGTTTACAAGCTAGTGGGTGGAGCGCGCTGTCCCAGGATTCAGAGCCCTTGTTAGCCAGACTGAGTGTCCTGTCCCACGTCACTGTCGTCCATGGATGTTTTCCCATCTTTCTCCTGTCCCCAGAGCAGAGATTAATTTAAAGGTAAAGATGAAGTCACTGTAACTGTCCTCGTTTTCACCTTTTCTTTTTTCAGTGCAGAAATTAAAAGTATAAAGCACGGTGATCTGGAGTTTCTTGTGTCGGAGTCACTGGTGAATGTTGGCTGAGAGCAAGCCCCCCCCTTGCACTTGTGAAACACTGAGCGCTCTACTAGCTGAGACCGATCATTAAACACCTTTCTCTGCACTGTGGGTCCCGACTCTGTGTGGGGGGCCCGGGCGGGGGCCGGGTCAGAGGGCGAGGCTGGGCGCTGGGCGGGAGTGGGTGGGACGGAGGCCCCAGCCAGGGGCTGACACTCCCGGGTCCTGTTCCCAGCGCACCACCGGGTCATGTGACTGGCCACCCCACCTCTTCTCAGGTCTCTGAGCCCCACCGTTGTCTGTGAACACAGCATCGGGCTATTCCATCCGTGCACCGGAGGTGACAGTGCACAGGGCTCCCCTAAGCCAGCTCAGAGGGGAGGGGCGGTGCCGGGCTGCTGCAGTGTCCACAGCCGTGTCGGTGCCCACACCTGTGGAGGCTGGTGGCTGGTGGCAGAACTGTAGGGACTAGTGAGATGCTCCAGGTGAGCCCTCAGGGACGCCCGCGGTGAGCGCAGTGAGTGTGGGGCTGGACCACCGCAGAAGGCACAGCAGACCACGCCGTGGTTACCCAGCTGGTGATCACAACAAACTGCCCCACGCTTGGGGGTTCAGAGAAAAGGTGGGCCTTCCCGAGCAGGTGGTACCTCCAGGTCGGGGCGGGTACTCAGGAGGCCAACAGGACCCGGGTGTGACAGTCCTGGAAAACAGCCAGGACGGTTCGATGTCCAGTGTTCTTGCTTGGACTCCCTTCTGTGGAGACGAACAACTGCAACCTCACATTCTTTGGTATGAAAAGCCGTTTTTCTAGTAAGTCCTAGATCTCTGGGAGTCCGGTTTTCTGACTGACCCCGCTGGCAGACACTTTCTTCCTAGTGACGGTTTGGACAGGACAGACAGGACGGTGCTCTGCTCTGGGGCTGTGTCTGTCCTCTGCCCACAGGTGCCAGCAGCATCCACTGCCCCAACTGAGCCAAAAATCTCTCCAGACATTGCCGGTTCACGAGAGGGTCCCTTTTTTGGGGATTCAGGGGGTTGGGTGTGTGGAAGGACCCTGACAGCTTAATTCTGTACTGGCCTTCACTTGATTCATTCAAAGTCCACTAAAATCATTTACTCACTTTTCCAATGAAATCCTCATTGGTTCTCAGTTAAACCGGCCACCACAGTCAGCTCTGGGGGTCACTCAGCTTTGAGATGACCGACTGGATTTGTCTTGTCTCTCGGGGACCGTGGAGAGCCAGGAGAGAATTCATTGAAACACACGTGTTCCGCAGAGGAAGCTGTGGGAAGGAGCCTGAGTGATGCTCGTGAGACCCAGCTTGGGGGGTGTGGGGATGACAGCCACCTTTCCGGGTTCACGAGGCCCTCGATCTATACCCCGTCCGTCTCCTGCCCGCCTCCACGTGGAAGCCTCCCAGGTCTGGAGACCTGCTGCCCCTGGCCGCTGCGGCCCCTGGTTGCAGTGCCCAGTGAGACCAGCAGAGGGCAGCCGGGATCAGGCGGGGGGGGCGTCGGCGGGCAGTGCGGCCCGGGAAGGGAACTGCTCCAGGTGGAGCGGCCGGTACCCAGCACGGTCACCCCAAGCAGCCTTCCCAGCCTCGTTTCCTGGCCTGGCCTCAGAAGGGGCTGCATCTGCTGAAATGGAAGAGGGCAGTCTCCCCATCACGGCCTTCGCTGTCCCCCGCCGGGCCCCGCAGGAGTGCATCCCGTTCCTCTCCCGCAGCCACCTCCAGAGCGCGAGCCCGGGAGTCCCTTCGCCATCAGCTTGTCTACGAAGAGTGCAAGGGCCCTGGCCGGCGTGGCGCAGCGGTCAGAGCGTCGGCCCGCGGACCAGAGAGACCCGGGTTCGGTTCCTGCTAAGGGCATGTACCTCGGTCGCAGTTTGCCCCTGGCCCTGGTTGGGGTCGTGTGGGTGGCAACCACTCGGTATGTCTCTCTCACATCGATGCCCTCCCCCCACACTCCATCTGCAGATAAATGCATAAAAGTCCTCAAGTGAGGATTTTTTTAAAAAAAGATGAGTGGAAGGGACAGGCATTCCCCCAGGGGTAACTCAGGGTCCCGAGCATATGCCCCCCGGCACCTTTGTAAAAGTAGTTGACATTATTCTCAGTGGACTGAGTTTGGGATGGCAGGGGGCTGGGTTGATGGGGTACAGTGTCCTGGCTTCTCCCCTTCTCAACCCCATCTAAGTTACCCTGTTTTCAGCTTCTTCTCGGGGGCAAAGAAGTAAATTGTGAAGATTTGTTCCAAAGAGGAATATTAACGTCTCATCCTCACCTGTCCCCCCTCCATCACCTGGCCAGTAACTCGGGTAAGCGAGCTCCCCCTGCTGGTCGCCCAGGAAAGGGAGAGCTGAAGGGAGTATGTTTGCTCACACAACGGGGTTTCTAGCTTCGTGGTGTTTCTCAAAGTGTGGTCCAAGACCACCTGCACCAGAAACTTCATATAAAAATGCGAATTTCCGCTGTGGGGCTGTGTCTACTACAATAAATACATCAGTGTCCTGCAGCTCGACAGCCCTGCTCCTAGGCAGGTACAGGAGACCAAAGTGTGTGTGCCCAGCAGGACGTCGGATCGGGACATCTCAGCAGCACCTGGGATCCACCCAGATGCCCGTCTGTGACTCATCCACACTCGGCTGCCCACACAGACAGCACCGTGGACTTCATCCCGTCAACATGATGCTGAGCAGGAGAACCCAGGCTCAAGGACAGACTAAACCAATCTGTGTTGTCAGAATAATGGTTACCCGGCGTGGGGGGAGTGGGTCTTGATTGAGAAGGGGCCTTCGGGTGTGGAAACTATTCTATATCTTCATATACTGGGATGATGCTCCAACAAACTGAGCTACCCGGCCAGGGCCAGAACTGCTCTATATCTTGATCCCAATGGTTGTTATACAGTAAACACATATATACAGATATATATATAGGTATATACCTACTCATTAGTATGCCATATGGTATACCATATGTGCATGGATATATACATAGGCATTGAGCTCTTTGTTAAGAATCATTAACTCTCGCCCTGGCCGGTTTGGCTCAGCGGTTATAGCGTCAGCCTGCAGTCCAGAGAGACCCGGGTTCGGTTCCCGCTAAGGGCATGTACCTTGGCTGCAGTTTGTCCCCGGCCCTGGTTGGGTCGTGTGGGTGGCGGCCACTCGATGTGTCCCTTTCACATCGATGTTTCTCTCTCTTCCTCTCTCTCCTTCCCGTTCTGAGTGAAAAATGGAAAAATGTCCTCGGGTGAGGATTAAAAAAAATAAAAAAATAAAAAAAAAGAATCATTAACTCTCTTGTATGTTTCATGCACATACATTTCCCAGCTTCATTCCAGACCCACCAAATCAGACTCTCTCAGCCTGGGGCCTAGGAATCTGCATGTTGCTTCCTTGTTGGTGTCGCTGCACATTGAAGACCAGTGTCGTAGCTGTGCAGACTGTGAGAGAGAGGCTTCTGTCATCCACCCCACCCCAAATCACGCCAGACCCCACTTCCCATCTGGTTGAAATATTACCGGATGTTCATACATCCGTCACTGGGGAACAAGACTAGTGTGAGATTTCTCACCTGTAAGATGAGGCAGGACCTGTGGACAAGACTGTCACATCCCAGACAGAAGCCACGTGGAAGGACAGACGGGCAGCTCTCTTCCTGCTTGTCTTTAAAAATCGAAAATGAAAACCAGCTGTTTACATCCTTCTGCGTCTTAGTGGAGAAACCCATCCTCTAAACGTGCGTGATGTGTGATTCTGTCCCCTCCTTTCCATGGGTCCATAACCCCACCCCATTCGGCGCAATGAACAAAAGGAGAAGGTGTGTCAAGTGTCTGGAACACGCAGGGCTACGTGTTTGTGTTCTCCCTGGGTCCGTAAGACACATCTGGGGGCGGAACTGAGGCTCCCGTGGGTTCGGCAGCTTCCCTGAGGCCCTCGGCAAACGGGCAGGGGGGCTGGGGTTCAACCTCAATCTGTCCACCTGCACTAAAGAATTGCTGTTGGTGGGAAGGGTCTACTTGCAGTCTTGTTTTTGTTTAACCTACAGCCACAGAATTTATCACCGTCATTAAAAGCTGTAGCAAGCATCCTCGTCACTGTCTGCCTTTATCCAACAAGTGGAATAATTTATGTAAGCATTCCCTCAATATTGACTGTTTCTGTCTTTGCCAGTACGAGTGTCTTGCTGAACATGTCTAAAATCCACCATTGCATTAGATTATTTGGGATAAATTATTATAAATAGGATCACTAGAACAAATGTACCTTTACACACACACACACGCACACGCACGCACACATGGTTGCAGGCGTTTTTTTGTTCTTGTAGGTTTTTTTTTTCATTATTGATTTTAGAGAGAGAGGAAGAGAGAGGAAGAGAGAGATAGAAACGTCGATGAGAGAGAACATTGATTGGCTGCCTCCTGCATGCCCCCCAATGGGGATCAGGCCCACAACCTGGGCATGTGCCCTGACTGGGAATCAAACCAGTGACCTCTTGGTGCAGGGTCGATGCTCAACCACTGAGCCACACAGGCCAGACTCATTACTTTCTATGTGTTCTTCAAGATCAAGTTCAAAGTCACTTTGTCAAGTTAAAACTGACCTCTGACCACTTCTTTATTATTAGTACAGAGTTCTCTGCGGGCTGGCTATTCACACTTTCAAAACCAAACACACCCTACTGAGTGGTACTTACACAGACGGTCCATCTACAGAGAAAAGCATGGGAGGGACCTACACCAAAGTCCTCTGGGGAGGGGGCAGGGGGTGTGACTAGGAAAGGCACACGGGGTCCGTAGGGGCTGGAATGTTCTGTCGCTTCATTTGGGTGGCATCGTCTTTATCTTTCGGTAAATAACAATACTACCAAAATCTTAGCAGCTCAAAACCATGTGTGGACTCGGGTTCCTGCGCATCTGGAGTCTGGGCAGCTTGGCGGTGTCCTTGTACGCGGCAGCTGAGGTGTGGGCTGAAGCTGGGGGCTCACTGGAGGCTCGACGGGAGGATCTGCCTCCGAGGTTGTTGGCAGCATCCAGCGTCCTGCAGCCTGGCTGCCCTCAGGCCCTGCGCACAGGCTGCCCCAGCCGGCACGTCACAGGTGTTCCCG